ATCCTTCTAGACACCCAGGTTTGCAAACTCAGTGTCCTCCTAGACTATTTCCTCATCCCACATAGGATCATCAATTTACGAATAAAAGAAACCTTCAATATCATTTACCTTAACCCTTTTATTTTACAGTTGAGGAAGCTGGAGCCTAGTTATCATGCAGTAAGCATATCAGAGGTAGGATTTGAACAAGATCTTCTGATTCCAAATCCAGCACTAAACATGTCTCCTATCTAATCACTCACAACATCATATTGTTTCTGTCTTCACAACATTTTTTCACATGAGTTCCATTCTCTCCCCGCATACAGCTACAACTCTAGTCCAGATAGTAATCACCTCCAACTTGGACTCCTGCAATAACTTCTTATCTGATCCATCCCCTGTCTCAAATCTTTTCTCACTCCATTCTCCACAAGGTTTCCAAAATGATTTTCTTAAAGAGCCGCTCAGGTCTGACCATATCACCACCATCCCCATTCAATAAACTCCAGTGGCTCCCTATTAAACTTAGGATCAAATATGAATTCCTCCATGGGGCATTTAAAGCTCTTCCCAGTCTGGTCCCATCCTACCTTTCCAACCTTATTAAATATCACTACCCTCCACATACTCTATGGGCTGCCCAAACTAGACTCTTAACTGTTCCTAGCGCTTAGCACTATGCCTAGAACATAGGGGGCACATAACAAATGTGAATTGGCTGCTTGTTTCTCACACACAAGACTTTGTCTTAGTCTTTCATCTCTGTGTCTTTGCACTTGATATACTTCATACCTGAACCTCCCTCCTTACCTGGGACCTTTAGAATTCCTGGTTTCCTTCAAGGCTCAGAAGGGCCACCTTCTGCATGAGACTTCTTCCAGTCCCTCTAGATTGCCTTCCCCTAAAGGTTTACCTTGCAAGTGTTTAAAAAGTGTTTTGTATTTGCATATTATATGTGTGTATACATACATATATATATATACACAAATACATATATATATGTATATACACATATATATGGTGGCCACTTTGTTGGGATATATATATTACATTATATTATGTTTGATATAATAAATACCTGTTGTCTCCCCTATTAGAATGTAAGATCTTTGAGGTCAGGAACTGCTTAGCTGTTACTGTATCCCCAGCATGTATTACAGTGCCTGGGCACATAATAGAGCATTAAAAAATGCTTTTTTGATTTTTAAAAGGGGAGAAAGGATGGAAAGGAAGAAGAAGTAGTAGAAGGGAGAAATGGGAGAGGAGAAGGAAAGAAAGACCTTCACTGTCTACTGATCATCTATTATAGAATTATGGGAAAACATGAATAAGTATACCCAAAATAATGAAATTGTGGATACCCCAAAGTGCCAAATATAGGGAAAATCATCAGTGTATTATTACCAGCAATTAGGAAAGCTAATGACTTACATTAAAATAAGTTGACCCATGAGTGAAGCAGATAGATTTGAATAAAGACGATGGAAATTATGCCAAGTCTAATTTAGAGATGATGGAATTTTTAAATTTAATTTTTCTTTAAATACAAAAGATCCCTGCATAACTGTTTAAAGCATTAATAACGATGATAGTAGCTAACATTTTTATAGAATTTTAAGGTTTGCAAATTGCTTTACAAACATAACCCCATCTGATCCTCACAACCACCTTACAAGCTAAGTGAATTTTTATCCACATTTTATAAATGGGTAAATAAACTCAAAGAGGTCATGTGACTTGTCCATGGTCAGACAGTTAATAAGAGTCAGGTGAGGGACTCAAAACCAGGTCCTGCTGAGTCCAAGACAAAAGTTTTTTTGTTTTTTTTTCCCATACACCATGCTGCCTCTCAAATTGATGGATACTGACTACTTAAAACTCATAAAACTTGAGAATAAACATGTTTTAATTTTAAAGTATAATTAACTTAGGTACTGTGGAAAAAGAACTGGATTGTAAGTAGAGATGTGAATTTTGGACACAACCTTGCCACTAATTTACTATATAACTTTGGACAAGTCACTTGGATCCTCATCTATAAAAGGAGAGTTTAGACTAAATTATCTCTAAGGACTTTTCCTGATCATTATTTGATCACAAAGGTTTCACAATACCATAGGTTTAGGCATTGTGTATTAACTAATTTTCCCAAAGACAAGAACGTCCATAATTTTATCTTCCCTTTCCAAGGAAAATATTAAACTTGGCAGAGTACTAACTTTTTAATTTACATCATGACTATTTTTGGCATGTTATCAGACTTACTTTGTACCTGTAGCTAAAGGTTGAATTGGAGCACTTCCCATGAAGCTGGGCAGGCACACTTTGGCTCCATGAGAAAGGACACTTACACTCTGGCCCCATGCAAAAGGCTTGGCTAGAGGCTCTTTGTTGGTCATTTGTTCCACATGGACAGAAGGTAGAGGGTTGAAGGGAAAAGGAGAGGGATTGTGTTGAGAAATGACAAATAGACCAAAAAGATCTGCCCATTCTGTGAACCAGAGAAAACGAGGAAAGGAGGTTTACAATTTTTTGAGGTGGCCTTTTTGTTGAGATAGAAACAGTGCCACCTCTACCTTGGACTTCTCAAAGGTAGGAAGGGGCTTTTTCTCCTTTCCTTCTCCCCATTGATGGCTCTGGTGCCTATTTGCACATGGCAGGAAGAACATGTACTTTCCTAAGTGAATATGAGACTAGATCTCAAGTCCATGGTTACCTCCTCTATTTTCCATTTCTTTCCCTAAGTACAGGTAACTGAACAGCAAACCTAAGAGATGAATGCTTCCAGCTTTGGCATCTATGTTAAGAATTCAAGAGGTCTGAAGTTCTGGGTGGTCAACAGCAACAAATATTTCCTGTAACTATATTCTTCTTGGAGAAGCAAATCATAAGCTAGATGAAAATGCATCTAGGCAGCACAGTGGATAGGGTCCAGGACTTGGAATCAAGAAGACCTGAGTTCATATCCTGTTTCAGACGCTTCTTAGCTATGTTAACTCTGGGCCAACCACTTATCCGCCTCAGATTCTTTATCTGTAAAATGTAGATAACCATTGCACCTATCTCCTAGGGTTACTGTGAAGATCAACTGAGATGTTTGTAAAGCACTGTATAAATGCTAGCTGTTATTATTCTTTGCCACCACCAGGAGAATAAGCCATGCATGCCTGGCTGGCCAGAAGATATGAGTAGCTGCCCAGACATTAATGAGAAAAATCTGTTCAAACAGTCCCACAAATCTCCCAGAAGTCTTTACCTTCCAGGAGAGTATAGCAAAGATCATAGATTAGAGATCGTGTTTTAGTATGTGTTAATCAAAGCTGATGAGTCATTCTTTTGTAATAGAGGAAACAAAGAGCTGTCCTATACCTGATACCTGCTAGTTTGCATACTGAATAACTTTTCCAGAAGGGATACTGTTGTTATCCCTTTGGTGGATACAAACTTAAAATTTATTTAATCTATTTCCCCCAGAAGTCTGGGGTGGGAATATCATGAACCAGAGAGTCTGAGAAAAGCCTGACTTCTCCTCCTTAGGATCAGGCTCCCCCAGAACTGAATCCAGGTCCAGCTGCACCAGGGTCAAGCCCCTTTATTGGAGAGGGTGCCCACCATCCAGGCGACAGATGATATCCTCATTACAAACCTTTAACTTTACATTTTAATATATTTGACTTAGCAGAGGATTGTTCTTTTCTCCACCAAATGCTCAGTTCTTTGCCCAATTAAATATTCAAAACCAGATTTAGCCTTGTCTTTTCTTCCTTCCAAAACTCACACACTTGCTGGCACTCCCATATTCAATATACAAGTGTGCTTTCATCTGTTTTATAGTTCAGGCATTTTTCTGAAACCACAATTCTTGAGCCTAAGATGTATTCAACAGATTCTAGGAAGGATTTCATATTACAACAGATTCCTCTACAGTTTTGGGTTGGTTTTTTTCTTAAGTTTTTATTTTCTCTAAGTTTTTATTAAAATTATTCATAATTTCACTCTGGCTTCCAGGTTTTTCAGAGCCCTTCTTTCTGAATTCATTCAGTTCTCTGAAAATGGAGACTATTTGTTAAAGCAAAGGATTTAGATTTATTAAATATCAAATGCCTTTTTTAAAAAAAGTGACACAGAATGCCCTCATAAGATTCACTTGATTCATTTTAGCTCCCATTGACTTACAGGTACCATAAGTTTCTTTTTTTACCCAAATTAAATTACTTTACTGTAACCATGTCTAATGGCATGAATATAATCCTTAAGAAGTGCCTTATTAGCAATGTCAGGGTTTTATTATATAACCCAGCATTTCTTTTTCTTTAATTCAACAAACATTTATAAAACATCTAATATAGCCAGAGAAATGTGCCTTTTTTAATTCAAGTTTTTAAAAAATAATCTCCAAAGAGGGAAAATATAATTTTGTAAACCTAATGCAAACCAAGTTTTGGTGGGGTTTTTTGTTTTGTTTTATTTTGCTTTGCTTTTAGGTTGGTTTCCGAGAACACTAGTTTAAGGCAACAGCCTTGCATATAGCCTGATAGAATGCCCAATTTCTAATTCTGAGGCAGAAGATTCAAAGCCTTCTTGCCTCCCTGAGCTGTCCTTTCTGACTGCATTTTAAAGAACATCAGGTGGTATGTGCGATAATTGAATGAAGCACTAACTTGTTATTGTTGCTGTTGTACGATCATTTCAGTCTTATCTGATTCTTCATGGCCCCATTTGGGGTTTTCTTGGCAAAGACACTGGAGTAGTTTGCCATTTCCTTCTCCAGTTCATTTGACGGATGCAGAAACTTAGGCAAACAGAGTTAAGTGACTTGCCCAAGGTCACACAGCTAGTAAGTATCTGAGGCCAGATTTGAACTCAGGAATATCAGTGTTCCTGACTCCATGCTTGGCTTGCTATCCACTGTGCCAGCTAGCTGTTAACTTTTAAACATGACTGACTAAAGTCCACAAAGCTTAAGAACCACTGATAAATTTTGATTGCCAAAAAGTTAAAACAACATTTGCCCTTACCTCAATGTTCTTAAATCCCACAGTTTTATTGCATCACCAATAGCTGTGGTTAGAAAAAGGTTGTAATTCTCAAATGGTTGTGCAGCAAATGCTGATCCCTATAATGTGGGAAACAAAATGAAGACAAGACATATTTTATAAAAGCTGCATTACCCAATATTATCTTAAATTACAATAATCAAAAGAATATTATAAGTTTCAAAATTAAGAAAGAAGCTACTTCTCATTATTTAGTTTTTATTTTCTGTATTTGGCTGTTGGAACATGTTCAGAGTAAGGAAGGAGAAGCCCTCAAGAAGAGGTGGCCAACATTGTTCAAATTCTAAGGACAAAGAATGTTAAAAGGTTATTGGATTTAGCAACTAAGATGTCATTACTGACTTTTGAGGGAATAGTTTCAGTAGCGTGTCAGGGTACTGGTAATCTGACTGCAAGAAGTTGAGAGATAAGGGGTGGAGGTAAAGGAAACACTTAGACTACTTTGTCTTGGAATCTAGCAATAAAGGGAAGTAAAGAACAATGCTTAAAACTGAAAGAGGTAAAAAGACGAAAAAAGAAATGGGACAAGTGTATAGTCCAAAAAGCAAGCTTTTTTCTGTGGCGATTTTTGCCTCCATCTTTCACTTTTTATTCCTTTACTCCAAAAGAAAAAAATCTAGTTGTCTACCCCAATCTTTGATGTACAAAGTATTCTACAGATAAACCTCTGTTCTAGTGACAGATAATCGGATTTGGATTTGACTTTCTCCGGGCCTTTCTTCTCTCCTTTCCCCTATTATTTTGAGCTGGGAGTTGCTACACTACATACTAGTGAGATGTGTCTATGGACAACAGGAAGGGATGAGATCAAGAGAACAAGTAGAGAGGGCTGGCCTTACCAAGAACTACTTCTTTTATTTGAGTCAAGAACTAAGGAGGAAAGGACTGATGAAAACATAGAAGAGTCTAGAGATGTGGAGTTGAGAAATGTAAATAATGACCTTAGAAGAAAGTATAATATTGTAGAAACAGTGATGGATTTGGAATCAGAAGACTCAGTTCAAAGCCTGGCTCTGCTACTAACTGTTTGTCCTTAGATGAATCACTTAAACCCTCTTGGTCTCAGTTTGCTTATCTGAAGAATGAGGAGAGTGGAACTGATGATGTCTGAGGTCCCTTCTACCTCTAAATTCCTGATCTTAATTTAACTTATTATTTGCTTATTATATATATGTATAATATATATTGCTTATTATATATCTCTTCCCCACAACCTTAGTCCAAGACCCTTTTATCACATGGAAGTGACCCTAGATTCTCAAAGGCAGCACCAATGCAATGCAAATTCTGGCACATGATACTCCCCTAAAAGTTTCAATCATGATCCCAGGAACAGAATCGCATCTGTTTTCTGAAGATGAACCTAGCTAAGAACAGAAAAGTTCATCACTAGTAAGCCTACCACTTGGTAAAAAATTCTTTAGCCATGGCAACCCACAAAACAAAGCATAAATGGGTTACAATTTTTATTACTGGAGGAAATATCCACATTGATGAGTCAATGGATTCATTTGACTATTGAGTATCTGAGTACTATTAGTAGTAATAATATTATCATAGCTCCTTCTCTATTTTTACTCCATTCATCCATTTTTTTTACTGGATAAAAGGGATCCAGCACTTTTTCCCCCTTAGTATCACATGGAACTACTGCTCCACTTCCCATATAGCACCTAAAGCTGAATATTATTTATCTTTTTAATAAAATACTTCCTATTTCTTTTATTTTTAATAAACTTCCTATTTCTTCCATCCACAACATTGTTTTCTTTGTGTAATTATAAATATCAAGTGGAATAATTTTCTCAGGTACTCAAATTGTTATTTCAGATATTTCTTCAACTAAATACAAAAGATCTATATCCTGGGTTCATGTAAAAATGTATGCTTCCAACTATTTATATGTTATGAAAAAACTGTAATCTTTTGACACAGCATTTAATGTAAAAAATAATTATTTCAAATTGTAAATCAAGTGTAAAGTAATGTAGAATATTTGTGTTTGTAGGAAAAATATTAAAATTATATTCATTATTTACTTTCCAAAACAAAAATTGATATGCATAGTCAATCAATTTTGCTTTGCCACTCCAGGATACTGTTCATATGTTTATGATTAAAAAGTCTGTGGCCAATTGTTATCATCACTTTGATGCATGTGTCATTCTACCTATATAATATGTTGTTATTTATCCGTTGTTTCTGAAGACATTACAGGGTGATATCTTGACATGCATGGGAATTGGATTTAAGTGAGTCTGAGTTGCACAGAGTTATCAGCCTCACTATCTCTTCCAGAGTCATCAAAAGTCCAGTGGCAAGAAAAAAGTTGAGATGACTGGTGATGGCCTGGGATGCAGTGGATGACCTTGCCATCTTTGATGCCTGACCAAACTCTAAGCACCTCACAGTGCCTGCTTTAGCTACCTTCGTGGCTGTAGGAACAAAATGTTCTCATCCACAATTCTGCCAACGGAAGTCTTCTCGTGTTTGGGGTAGACATCCCCCTAACTCACCGATGGGTTTGAGGCCTGTCAGTTATCCTCAACCCGGTTTAGCTTGTCTGCCAAGACTGTTTTACTGGGGTGTGGCTGTTGCACATGCCACAGCCTCTTGGAGCCATGGGTGAGAGCTGAGTAACAGGTGGACACCAAAGGTGGATGAGCAGCCCTGAAAAGGGCTTGGCAAGCTCTCACTCCAGAGGTGTTAATCCTCCATGAATGTCCCATACACCGCTTTATAATATGTTCTACGTACACAACAGATACATATCTCATAAATAACTACAGAAATACATGTTATAGCCTAATATGAACATTTTAAAATGTAATTGTGCTATTCATATATTATGTAGCTTTTGTATTTTTTAATTTTAATGCTTACTAATAATTCCCTTAATTATGATTTGCCAAATAAATTGGAATTTCCAAGATATTTTGAGGAAATATGGACGGAATATTCAAATTTGGGGACATCCTGGAAAATTCAGGATAGAGAAGACACAATAGAAATTGGGCAGGAACTTAGTGACCTATAGAGTAGCCTGTATTATAGAGGAAGGGAATAGCAGCAGCCTGTTTAGTCCTAGAAACTATGGCGAATGAAAAGCTAGTTAGCTAGCTTTGTTGCTGCAGTCTGATCTTTTCTGTCTAGTCATGAAAGAATCTATTATTTTTTATGAGTGAGTCATCACACAAAAGGACCAAAATCTGCATTGCTTTTGCTGCATTAGGGGAGGGGAAGAAGAAAATACAGTTATCGCTTGTGCAAGTATATGGTTCTCTAGTTAATGACACAATAAAATGAAAAAATAAATCCTGCTATTCCCACATACTTAAGGTAACTTTATAGGATTAAATAACAGATCATTTTAGAGTTGGAATACTGGCATATTCAAGTAAATCTATTATTGGTACATGACTAACACGGTTACTACATTTAAAAGTAATTAAAAATGACCTATTTTACATCTTACTGGAAAAAAGACATTTGTGCACAATTACAATTTGTGCTTCTCATGTTCAGTTCAGTTGAGACTACAAGAGTAGCAACTCCCATATGGCTATGGTTAAGTTGAAAACTTTGATGTCCACTATGTAACTGGACAAATATTTAAGAGATATTCAAAAACAAGCTATTAAAACACTGAATACGGCATCTGCAAGCTTATATGTTTCCTTTCATTCCATTATATACCATTCAGACTTTTATTTTAAGGAAGTCAAACAACTATTTTTCCTATAAGAAACCTCAATAATATTTTTCCTAATATATCACCCATCATCCAAGAGGCTCCTATAGCGGCTCCCAAAACATTCCAAAAAAACCACTGAAAGGAAACTTGGAATGAAGGTGGGCTCATAGACTGACAACTGAAACACTATCTGTTACAAAGGTATAAGGAAGAAGTTTTTTGTTTTTTTTTTAACTAAAGTCACTCAAGCATACACTCCTCCATAAAAGGACATCATGAGCTATCAGAAATATCATTTACTGGACACATTCTGCTTAATGAAAGGGCAACTAATATGGGTATTAATGTACCAGTATCACTTAGTTTATGACACAAGAGCATTATCAGTGATAACTGATGTATGTCATCGGTTTGGAAGACCTGGAGAGTCTGTGAAGATTCCTGGGATACTTAGTCAAGAGAAGACTTGAGAAAGGCATCATTGTACTATGTGAAAAGTACTAACTTGGGAATAAGAGCATGTGTGTTCTAGTGCCAACTGTGTCACTAATCCTTGTGACTGAAGGCAAGTCATCTATGCTTTCTAAGTCTCAGTTTACTCATCTACAAAGTTATGAGGTTGAACTACATGATCACTAAAGTCCTTTCCAAAATTATAGGATTATAAAATGCAGACTCTTGAATAGACAAATTAGAAAGCTATTATGTGATTTTAAATGGTGGTTATCAACTGGGAAATGGCTTAACAAATTGTGGTACAAGAACGTTAACAGAATATCACCGTGCCTTAAGGAATACCAAATGTGAAGAATTTGGAGAAGTACGGGAAGAATTATATAAACAAATAATGACGGAGATAGGGAATGGATCTATGATTTCCCTGATATAGGCAATTCCCTGGGTGAGGAAACTTCCTGTAATGATTGATGTAGGTTGGTACCTTCAGTACATGGAGCATTTAGATGTAAAGATTTGCCCAGATCTCTAAGAGGTTAAGTGTCTTTCTCAGGCTCACACAGGTAATATGTATCAAAGGCAGGACTTAAATTCATATCTTCCTAGTTTTAAGGATAGTTCTCTACCTAGTGAAATATGACATATATGAACTGAAGCAAAGATGTAAGTAGAATCAAGAAAACAATGACTATAACAATGTATTTGGAAAGAACAACAAAAACTTAAAACTGAAGGCTATGTAATTATAATGATAATGCTTGGCCCTGGTGTAGAGTTAAGATACTTCCCCTATCCATTTGGTGGAGGCAGGAACTATAGGTATGGGATATTGCATATACTATCAGACATGGCTGATACATTTTGTCTGTTTTTTTTTAATCTTGTTTTAAGGGGTGACTTACTGAAGAAGGAAACAAGTTATATTCAAAAATAAAGATGATATAAAAACAAAAGATATCCACAAAAGTAAAAATTTTAAAATTAAAATGTGACAACCAGACCTGAAAACTCACAATACAGTGGAATAATCATCTCTCTCAAAATTATATTAATGCAGTCTAAGATGTTTCCTGTTTGAATTGTCATTTCACACTGTTGCCTTATAATGATTTTGAAATCCAATAAAAACAACTGAAACTTTTTCATATGAACTAGTATTTAGCCACACTTCCCCAGTCCTATAGTTATATGGTTGATTTTTTGAACCCACGTAAAAATTTGCCTTTATCCCTACTAAATTTAATTTTATCAGATTCAGTCCATAACTCTGACCTTTGTGGATCTTTTTGGAACTTTATTCTATGAACCAATGTGTTACGTATCCATATAAGCTTCATATCATCTATAAATTTGGTAATACAACTTCTATACCTTCACCCAAATTACTTTTTTAAAAAGATGCAACAGAGCAGAGCCAATGATAAAATCTGTGACACTCTCTAAGAGATGCCCCCTTTAGTTTGATATGTACCAACCTATTCAGTTCTAGAAAGATTTTAGGAAATGAAAAGGGCATTAAAGAAGTCAAAGAGGGGCAGCTAGGTGGCATAGTGGATAGAGCCACTGACCCCGAAGTCAGGAAAACCTGTGTTCAAATCCGGCCTCAGACCAAACACTTGACACTTACTAGATGTGTGACCCTCAGCAAGTGACTTAACCCCAACTGCCCAAAAAAAAAAAAAAGAAAAAGAAAAGAAAGAAACATTTTTTAGGGGCAGCTAGATGGCACAGTGGATAGAGCACTGGCCCTGGAGTGAGGAGGACCTGGGTTCAAATCTGGCCTCAGACACATAATACTTACTGGCTGTGTGATGCTGGGCAAGTCACTTAACCCCAATTGCCTCATCAAAAAAGAAAAAAAAAAGAAGTCAAAGACAGGAAGAGTAGCTAGACCAGGATCAAATGCATACAGAAAAAATCTAGATAGAAATAAACACAATTTGGTGGACACTGAGATATGTATTCACTGGATATCTAAAAGAAGAAATATTACCTATTATTGATTAGAAAAAAATCATATCATTGCCAAGAAAAGAAAATGAAGAGGACATCAAGAATTACTGAAATATACTTATTTTATCATCTCTACAAAAATCTTTATCAGAATAAAGTACACACATATACAGAGTATCTTCCCTAAAAATATGGAAAGGGAATAGGTATGCTTTCACAAACCATATTTTACAACAAACCACATCTTTATAGTCACAAAATTAACTGAAAATGCTAAAAATACAAAACTGCACTATGCTTACTATTTGTTGATTATTTTTTAAAGCAATTGATTTAGCAAATTGTAAATCTGCTGTACAGTACATTCAGAGTAAAATGTAACACAAATGACAAATTCATATAACCTAAATTGACATATTCATGGGAGACATCTCCAACAAGTTACCTCATATGCATAGGTCAAAATCATATTAAATTCTTTAACATATTCAACAAAAAAAGTCTTTATTTGAGATGTTAGCCACTGTCATGGAGATATACAGAGAAAAACCCAAATGTAATTGGTATTTCCCACGGATGATGAGATACTGTTTGTAGATGATATTATGTTAATTACATCAAACCTTAGGGTAATATAGAGCTTCATGAATGAGTCCTACAACTACACAAGAAGAGTTCAGAATAACAATCAACGTAGGAAAACCAAGAGGATTTACAAAGTATAAAGTCTACATTATGATCATAAAGTTGGTTGGATATCCATCTGGGCTGGTCCCTCAGTACATATATCTCATACAGACAATAAACAGAACCCAAAACTAAACCAGATAAAGACACCAAGCTGTATTGTTTTAAAGAAATTGTACAATGCTTTCAATAATCTCAGACTGCTTCATGAAACAAAAATTCATCTTTTTAACACCAGAATTTTTCAGGTGATGTTAGATGGCTTTTAGTCATTTATCCGCATAATCTCTAAAAAATAAAAATTGTGAGTAACCCAAAAAGGCAGTGGAGAGATGTATGGTGGGCATGTATACTAATGATGGCTTATATACAAAAAATGGTACAAAAGTTAAAATTCAGGAAATGTATGAGCGGAAAAAGATACTAGAGAAAGAGAGAGGGATAACAGATGGCTGGCTTAGGTACTATACTGATTCCCAGTAAATGTTAAAAGACTTTAGAGGAAGCCTTCCAGAATGTTGGGTAAATCCTCCATGGAAGATTAACAATAGAACATGGACAAAAGTCAGAATAAATGAGAAGGTATTACTGGTTTGCAACCTAAAGAGTTGAAGAAAATACCTACATCAATAAGCTGACAGATCAGGGGTGGGGAACCTGTGGCTTCGAGGCCATGTATGGCCCTCTAGGCCCTCAAGTGCAGCCTTCTGCATTAAGTTCCAAATTAGAATAAAAAGAAGCATCAATTTACAGAAAACACTTAAAAATACAAACTTCTGTATTCAATGAAAGGGTAACACTTGAAGACCTAGAGGGCCACATGTGGCCTTGAGGCCGTAGGTTCCCCACCCCTGTAATAGATCCACTGAAGATAAATTGAAGTATTCAGTCCTAATAACTGTTTCCAAATTATACAGGGAAAAAACTTCCTTTTTATTTACCTTCATTCAAAGACAGGTAGTTTATGACACTCATATCACATCTGAAGTATCTTTAAGTTGCACTACCAAATGTAACTTTTTTTTCACTCTCTTCCTTATCTTTCCCATGACTTTTCTCTTATCCCATTCTCTCCCCCATCTTCTCTCTTTCATTTTTCTTTGTTTATATCTGCATATATATAAATATACATATAATATATAAATATACATATATGTGTACACACACACACACACACACACACACACACATACAGGCAGTGTATATCCCCACTGTTGGCCTTCAGAGTTAAAGAGTTTTTTGATCCTTGCTTTAGAGTCATGTCAAGACATTGAAGGACAACTGGGGTCCACGACTGGGAGCCAAGATAACAAGAGATAGACAAGAGCTGAGGATCCCATGACTGCCGTATTCATCTTTGTTTTCCACACAGCACCTTGTAGATGGTAGGCACTTGATAAATGTCTGATGAATGATCAAATGAGTCATAAATAATAAACCAAGAGTCTGAACAGCGGGGACTAAGGACATAGATCAAGCAGTCTTCAAATATGGTAATCAGAAGCATATTGACAACCCTTAAGACATGGAATCAATCAAGTTAAGATAAAGAGTCTATGGCAAGCAAGAGTCAGGAATCCAGAGCATTCATTAATCAATGGAGGATACAGCAAAGAAGGGTAGAAATAAGACAGTGAACATGATTGTAGGGTAGGATCTCTTGGTCCTCTAGAAGCTGTTCTATCTATTTCGCACTGGCTTGGATGACTGAAGTTTCATAAGTATTTTCCAGAGGAAACCAGAGCCACATAAGAAGTCAGTTTCCTCTGATTCTAGCTGAAGCAGGAGCACAAGGAAACACCCTACACTCAGCAGAATACAGAAAACCAACAGAGTTAGAATAAGAAGAGGCATCAATTTACAGTCATATATTTTTAACTAGAATATAGATATTCTCCAGGGAAAGAAAACACTTTTAATAAATAATTCATGAAATAGAAACCTATAATATTTGAAGCCAACTGAGTCTTTTATTTTCCCTCCCCTTTTATTAACCTTACTTCCAAAGGAGAGCAGTTTTACACCTACTACATCCAGAATCAGCAACAGGTAGCAACACTTTCTCTACAACTCTTACAGTTTCATCAAAAAACAACAAGGTCAACAAACAGAACAAAACCTGGAATACCTTCATAAGCAAGTGGCCCCAAATCTGTATTCTTGTAGAAATAGTGGAAAAAATGCATCCTGGCTGATGAGACACTTATATGGATGCAAAACTAATTAAATGTTATAATTAGGCAAACTGATATAAATTTGTATTTGAGAAATATTTTTTAGATACAAAGTTCCGCAATTTTATAAATTAAACTAAACTTCTGAAAAAGTACTTACTTTATTTTGGCAGATCTGATGGGCTGATCTTGAATGGATATCTGGGATCACTGCTGCACTGCAATCTACGTTGAGATCAAAAACTTCCAATGCTCTGTTACTCCCAGTTGTGAGAACAATATCTACGATACTTTGAGTTAAGATCAATTTATAAGATGCTAGTTCTTGAGGTAGAGGAGTTTCTCAAGATCTTATCAATAGAAACTGAATAGTTCCTAATTTTTTAAAATAACTATTTTTAAAAACAAAGATGAATACTAAAGTAGATGATCATTTTAATAAAGATTTTCTGAAATTATATCAAAATAAAAAAATGAATCATGAATGAACTTGAAATAAAACAAGATAATTATCCTTTCCAACTATTTGTTGCTGGTTGTAAAAACAAATATATAGATATTTGTGTAAACTGAGATTAGTGATTTAACGAGCTTGGTTATCTATTTTCTTCTGGCGACCAAAAGTTCTTCCCTAAGTTACAATATAAAACAGCTGGAGGATGTGGGGAGGGGTAACCGGAAAGATAGGAAGGGACCAGGCTATGAAGGGTTTTGAACACCAAAGTGAGGATTTCATATCTGATTCTGTAAGTAAAAGATAAACACTGGGAGGGGGTGGGTGTAAGAGAGAATAACAACATCAGATCTGTGCTTTAGAAAAATCAGTTTGAAAGGGGAATAAAGGATAGACTGAAGAGGGCCTTGAGGCAGACAGAACAACCAGAAGGCCATTGCAGTAGTAGTAGTAGTAGTACCAGTAGTATTACAGGAGGCAATGAATGCCTATACTAAGGTGGTGGCAGTATCAGAGGACAGAAGGGGGCATATACAAGAAATGTTTTGGAGGTTGAAATGACAAGAATAATAATAAACCCTAGTTTGTATTAATGATATTATCTTTCAAAAGGGAAGAGGAACAAGGAAGGAAAACTGCTATTCTCTTGCTGATTCTGACCAACAGATTGTCCCTATAATAAAACATATATATATATATATGTACATATATATACATATATAGCTTCTCCTCACCTGTCTTCTCTCTCCTTCCCTCCTTTCCCCTGTGTCTGTCTCTGTCTCCCTTGTTGCCCTGAATCCAATTCAACCTGCCTTCTTGAGTAACCGTATTTTCCCAAAGCACTGGACCTAGAGTATGCAGGAGGCTGTGAATGTGCCCAGGACAAAGCGCCCCCTCCCCTCCACCAGCTGATATGATCTGTTGTCACACCCCAAGCTGGAATCCCTGTGTATCCTTAGGAGGCAAGACAGGTACAGGCTGCTTTGTGCCAGGCTGGGTTAATGCTCGTGCAGCTGGGGTCCTTTACAGATAAGCCAACTCTCCTATCTTCAAAGTCTAGCAGTTTCCAAGGGAAAAGAATGCAGCTTTTGAGGCAGCTAGGTGGCGCAGTGGAGAGAGCACTGGCTCTGGAGTCAGGAGGACCTGAGTTCAAATCCAGCCTCAGACACAAAACACTCACTAGCTGTGTGACCCTGGGCAAGTCACTTAACCCCAACTGCCTCATCAAAAAAGAAAAATAAAATAAAAAAATAAAAAGAATGCAGCTTTTGCCATCACCTTGCTCCTCCCCATGGGGGGTGGTCTTGTCTTTTTTCCCCACCGTTGCTGCACCTTTCCCCTTCCCATGCCATACTACCTCCTGGTATTCCCTCCTACGTTTGCCCTGTTATCATAAAAATGCAAACTTCTGTAAGGACAGTGAACTCTTTGCTCTGGCTTTGATTTCCACATGCATGTTCATTCCTCTTGTAATAAACCTAGTTTTCATATAAATTTTGTGAATGTGTGATTTTTTTGCTGACATCTTCTGTCTCTCTCTCTCTCTCTTTATCTAGAAATATAAATATGTATAACATCAACATCTAACACAATATCTGATACATAGCCTGGTACATACCACATAAGTCCTTAGTAAATTATGCTGCCTGAAAAGATTTTTTTTTTCTAAAGTAAAAAGGAGGAACCTGGCCATAAGTGATTTTTAGATTTTAGATTTTGCGATGGAGAGAGCCAAACTATGCATAGTCTTAGATGCTGCTTAAATTTGGAGAAAGCACAGTTCAAAAGCATCAATGAAAGGATAACTAAGACTCCATGTGTAGTGGGGAAGGTTAATAAAAAGATAGACTAATCAATTGAGGCCTATATCTCCCTTCTCCCAAAGACCACTTGATGAAATTAGAAAATGTAAGGGGCCAGTAGCAAAAATAATGAGAAGTTAATGTTTTGTCCTAGGTAGACTTGCAGTAACTGCATTTACACTTTGAAAAGGATGTGAGATCTTGAGTAGCTTACATCTTAAGTGAGCTACTTGCAGATAGCAAAAGATGGGAAAGGAGAAGCAATCTGTTCACAATTTACAAAAGAAGTACATAAAACTATGTATACCTCATTGTTCCTTTAGGAGATAGGAAAAACTTCCTTTATCGGCTCAGTGGAACTACAGTCAATCTTTAACATTTGTGTATTTAACTTTCATGACTTTAAGCATTCACATGATTTTATTAGTAACCTCATTATCACTTTTGCATTGACAACCACGCACATTCATGGCTAGGTGCAGTACAGAAAAAATGCACACAAGTTTGTGGAGCAACTGGTATCCTACAAGGTGCTTCACTGGTCTTGTTTACCCTACTGTTGTAAAGAGCTCCCTGTGCATCTGTTGCATATTTTCATTATTTGCCTTTAAGACTTAAGTTTTGTATTGCAATTATGCCCCCAAATCCTAGCACAAATCCTTTGGGCTCTAAGCCAAGCTTTCAAAGTCAACAATGTGGCTTAGTGAGAAAATAACGGTGTTAGATAGATTTCGTGCTGGAATGTCTGTAGCCACAAATTTGGTGTTACTGTGTTAGGAAAAGTGCATATTATCAGAATTAATGTTTTGTTATAATGAATTATATGCAGTAAAGTGTATTTTCAAGCAATCTCTGGCCAAAAAAATAGGATTTGGTGGTTATAGAACCTAACTCTCTATTTCTCATAGGTTCAATGCATCAACATTTGCATTTTTTTTTTTTTACTTTTCATCATTTTCTAGGAGCATTACCCCTGTAAAAGTTGAGAAATTGATTGTACAGGGAAGCTAATTGGTGGGTTTGTTGAATGATCTGCCATACCTGTTGGCCTTTAAAAAGCAAGTTAACTAGCTCTTCAGAAAACTCGGTAGAGATTCATTTTTGTTAGCTGAAAGGGAATAATCCCTGGTGATCAAAAGTGAGCCAGCTATGAAGGAAGAATCCAGATCTCGAGCGTAAATTATTCAATGCTTTTTCCCTTGTGCCTCTTACAGAATGCCACACATAGGGGAAACATCCTCTACCCTCAGGGGCAATGGCAACTTGCAGTTAACATCTTGCATAGCAGGCAATGCTGCACCCAGCAGATAGCAGGTCCTTAAAATATATGTGAGGAGGTGCAGTAAGTTGCGGAGAGGAGAAAAGAGATGTAAGTTCCAGGGACCTGGTGAAGCAACAGCCCAAGCAGAAATCCTTCACAAAATGGTAGCAGGAGTAGGATACCATAAGATGACCTCCCACTGAATATATATATATATATATAAAACTCATAAATTATAGTTTTTAAATGAGAACCAGAGTTCCTTGAGCTTGGGCTAATTGTTCCCGTGGTTAGTATAACCTATGAGTGTCAGTTCAGAGGTGGTTATCTCTGAAAAAGAGGTGTTATACATAAATTAAAAGTCTGCAGAGCAAGTGGCTATAAATTTAGAAAATATCTAGTGCAATGTCCCAGAGATCTATGCTTGGTCCTGAGCTGTTTAATACTTTTATAAATTACTTAGATAAAGGTATATAAGTCATGCTTGTCACACTGAATGACAGAATAATGATACAAAAATGTAAATATCAAGTTAAACCACTGGACCAAATCTATTAAGAAGTCATTTAAAAAAGATAACTATAAGGTCATTCACTTGGGTTTAAGAATTCACCTTTAAAAGTACAAGAAGTGGGTAGTATGGCTAAACAGCAGGTCATCAGAGAAAGAAAAGGTGGATTATAGGACTAATATTAATAACTAATAATAGTTCAATATGAGTTAATAGTGTGATATAGCTAACAAAAAAAAGATTGTAAACATTGGATTATGCTAAGCAAGATACCACTTCCAGGAACACAAAGGTTATATGTCACTGCTATATTCTGTCCTGGTCAGACCACATCTGGAGAATTGAATTAAGTTTTGGGCATCACATTTTAGGGATAACAGTGAAATGCTAGAAAATATTCCAAGAGTAGCCAGGTCAGAAAAAGGCCTTACTTACATCATGACATAAGAGGAGCCAGGGAAGGAATTTTCTCATTTATAAAATGAGGGAATTGGAATGGATAACCTCTATCGCCCTTATGATCCCATTATCCTACACAGAAAATGTTTAGTCCAGAAAAGAGACTAATGAGGACATAATAGATCAAGTATTTGAAAGGTTGTCACTTAGAAGATGACTTAGATTTGTTCTGCTTAACTAGAAGAAATTGGTAAAAGCTGCTTTAAGGAAGACTTACATTTAATGTGAAGAAAAGCTTCTTAACAATTAGAATTTTCCAAAAGTGGAATGGGACTGCATTGGTGCGTACATGCTTCCCCTCACTAGAAGTCTTCAACCAAAGGCAGAATGAACACTTGCAGGCATACAGGGCAGCTAGGTGGCTCAGGGGATAATGCACTGGGCCTAAAATCTGGAAGACCTGAGTTCAAATCTAGCCTCTGATATCTACTAGCTATGTGACCCTGGGCAAATCATTTAGCCTCTGCCTCAGTTTTTCCAACTATAAAATGGGGATAAAATAATGCCCACCTCACAGTATTGTTGTGAGGATCAAATGGGATAATATTTCTAAGTCATTTAGCACAATGCTTGGCACATACCAGATGTTTAATAACTATTTAACTATAATAAATGTTTGCTCCCTTCCTGTGTTCTTCCCTCCCTCCTTCCCATTGTAAAGGCTTTTTTTTTTTTTGCGAGGCAATTGGGGTTAAATGACTTGCCCAGAGTAACACAGATAGTGTTATGTGTCTGAGATCAGGTTTGAACTCAGGTTCTCCTGACTTCAGGGGCCAGTGCTCTATTTACTGTGCCATCTAGCTACCCCTGTAAAGGAATTCTTGATCAAGTATACAGCGAATTTAATGTACTCTGAGTCCAGTCCAAATTGGAGATTCTTATCTATATGCTTCCATAAATTTCATTTATTTCATTCACTCATCCACAAAGGATCCTCTTGATACACCCGAAGCCTTCCTCTGGTCCATTTAGTATTTGGTGGGTACCAGTGCAACAATGCATCTGCCCATCTTCTATCCCTGCCATTTGCTATGTAGTTGGCTTCCTTCCTTTTACAGTCATGTGTGTATTCAAGAGTATATTTTACAACATTTCTCATACGGTTTTCTTTTTCGACCATGGTAGTCATGAAACTAATCCATTACTGCTATGAAAAATGATCATTATCAATATTGGGTAGAATCTTTGGAGTCAGTGGAATGGATTTAATAATTGGTCCTGCACAACTACAACCTAGAAGACAAAAGAAAAAAAAACTAAGTCTGAATAACTAATAGGAGAAAGCCTAAAAGGCTTAATTTTCATACAAGCACACATATAAATAATGAAAGGATACAGGAATAGAAATCATTTATGGCTGAGAGACTGGTAATCTCTATGGCCGACGTCATGGAGAACTTCTTGACAAGTTTGGCTTTGTTCCTTTGTTTATATCTGCAAAAGAAAATAATGTTTCCAGTTAACTCTCACTGTTGATTTTCTTCCATTAAACCTAAATCCCAATAGTTACACATGCATTATTCTTCTAATACTACGTGAAATACAGAAGCATGTTTTAAGATTTATCATATTGGTTAATTAAAGCAATATCAGTTAAAATAGAGTTCATATTTATAGCACAGAGAAAATAGTTGAATGAAGGAAGAGAAGGATAAAATTCTAAAAACCATATACATGTTTATGTGATGTGTATCTAAGATGAATGGAATTCCCCCTTCATTGCACAGAAAATTCCCTCCTCCATTTATTTAGAATTAAATAACTATGCATAAGGATTGCTTTCCCACCTACCACCAGTACCCAAGATTATAAGCAATTTGTGTTTCCATGTAAAACTGAGTCTTAGATACTTACAAAAATGTACAGGAAGTTGTAAACTGGCTTTAAAAAAAAAATAAGTGATGCATACATAAATTACAAGTGCCTACTAACAGGGAGAATAAGCTGCCTACATCTGATGTAGGTTTGGGGAAGAACTGGGGAGTTATCTTGAGCTAAGAACACAACAAATGAAGATTCCCAACTGAACTAAAATAAGGAGAAGAAAAAAAAGTGGGAAAGCTTGAGGAATATAGAAAGAGGTCATCACAAATGAGAAAAATAATTATTCATGCTTGTATAATGCATTGTGGTTTGTAAAACTCTTTATAGCCTACACTAACTTTACTAATTCCATTTTATAGATATGGAACTGGGCTTTAGAGAGGTTAAATGACTTATGGAAATTCAAATAGTATTTACGTGGCAAATCTGACTATCAAGCCAGCACTTGGTTTGGTTTGGTTTCTAACAATTTCATACTGCCCTCCTTCAAGACAAAGCTGATGGAAATAGTATTCTGAGATTGAAGTATCACTAGCACATAACGAAACTAAAGATCAACAGGTTGACAATCCAACTGTAACACTTGTTAGAAGACCCCAGTTGGTGTTAAAACCATAGCAGATCAAGTGGACTTTTGAACTTAAGTGAGCTGACTTTGATTAATATAACTACAAAGACTACTATTCACCACCAAGTGGATAGTAGCAAGTGCTAGACTGGCCCTCTATTTGATGGAAAGATAAGTGTGTAATGGTTACCAAAAACATGCATTTGTACTAAACTGCAATGAGAAATGATCCTCTTATTCTATGGTTATAGTACTCATTGGTAACATCCTGGGCCAAGATGGGAACTTCTGAGTAGAGGAAGAGTAAACATCCTTCCTATGTGTCAGCCTAACTTCTAGACCACACATATTTTCATATTTCAAGGATCCATGATTTTTTTATTTTAATTTATTTATTTATTTTTAGTTTTCAACAATCACTTCCATATGCTTTTGAATTTTAAATTTTCTCCCCCTCCCTCCCCAACTCTTCTCCCCAAGACGGAATGCAATCTGATATAAACTATACATATACATTACTGTTAAACATATTTTCACATTAGTAATGTTGTAAAGAAGAATTAGAACCAATAAGAGGAATCACAAGAAAGAAGAAACAAAACAAAACAGAAGGGAAAAAAGAGCAAATAGTATGCTTCTATCTGTATTCACACTCCATAGTTCTTTCTCTGGATGTGGACAGCATTTTCCATCATGAGACTTTTGGAGATGTCTTAGAAAGGATCCATGATTTTAATGGTACAGGCATACCCATCAACAATTGAAATATAACCCCCTTAAACTTTAGTAACTAGTTTCATCACTTGGAATGGCTGAAAAGTTTCATCAGCTCATGGCCAATTTCCTTTCACTTACTCAATTCCTTAATTCATTCAGCAAAAATTTGTTAAGCAGGCACTATACCAGGTTCTAGGGATAAAAAGACAAAAACAAAACTGTCCCTGCCATCAAGGATCTTACATTGTTTTGGGAGGTTTGAGGGTGTGTTCAATTTGTATGTAGAAGGTTAAATACAAAGCGTATAAGGCACTAGGAACACAAGGCAATAGGGAAGGCTTCATATGAAGGAGGCTCAGAGAGTTTAATTGATTTGTCTGTGTAACACACCTTATAAGTGCCACAGGTAGGATTTGAACTCCAGTTTTCCTAAGTCTAAAAATAGTACTCTACAATAACATTCTACCTCTTTCAAACTAATCAGAAATTTTTATTATACAGTGTAATTGCTACATGGTTGTGGACTTGCTATATCAAATCACAGTCAGTAGAGAAGTCACTGAAAATAGATCATCAAAGTTGAGTTGCTGTCAGCCATGTATTGAAAACTGGAAATAGCTTTGATATATAGAAACCCCTGATTGAAACTGTATTTTTGCTGTCACATTTTTAATTTATAAAAGCTAGATATGAGAGGTAGCTTACATAGTAGAGAGAGCTGACCTCATAGCCAGAAAGACCAGTGTTCAAATACCATCTATTACACATACTGGCAATGTGATCTTGAGCAACTCACTTAATCTGTCAGTGCCTCGGCTGCCCAAGAACAACTCTCCAAAACCGTAAGGTGCAGAGAAGATGCCAACCTGTTTCCATAAAGGGAATATCTTCTCCCAGGAATCCTCACAACCAATTAAATCAGCCCTATCTCTCTGAAAAAAGAAGCCACTCAGACTATTCATTAAATTGTCGGGTGAAATTTACCCACATAAAATATTAAGAAAGAAGGGGATATAGAAGAGATGGATCCGGGGGCACTGATCAATGCCTTATGAGGTTCAGGTACATAAGAAAGGTAAAAATTATTATTGCAGTAGATAGTGGCTATTAGGGTCAAGTAATTAAAAAAAAAGATAAAGAAAACAATGGGGAAGATGGAGGGAAAGGAGGTAAGTAAGGGGAAGAGACTGAAACAAAATAAGGGGATAAGTCTGGAAGCAGGATTCATTCAGTCATTAGGAATGATGGAATTACAGAAAATGGTAAAGGGGTAAGTGTTAAGGAGAAAAATGATTATTTCTTCATCTGTGAATAAAAGGAAGAAATTGTGAGAATAAGTTTAGAGAAAATTATAAGGTGGTAGAACAAAGGAAAATGTCATAATTATTTTATTTGTGACACTACATTTCATTTCTAAGTGAAATGTAATATTATAAATGAAAAATAATTATTAGTAATGGAGAAAATATAGCAAAGTTTACAATAGAGATAATATTTATCAACTGTTGACTTTTGTGATAGTCACTTCAACTGACCATGTTTTTAGTTGTAGAACTGGAAAAAAATGAACTAAACCTTAAACTGGTGGCTCTGACATTTTATCACTGCAACCATGGACAAGTCATTCAAATTTAATCTCTCAGTTTTCTCACCTGCTAAATGAATATAATATTTGTACAAACAATCTCCATTGGATTGTTGTGAAGATTATTTCAACAAAGGAAGGAAGGTATAAAATAACGTGTATTATAAATCTGAAAAATATTCTTCTATTATCCAGTTTTACCAACTGTTAGCTTTATTAGCATTTTAGAATAATTCTATTCAATTTTGTGATATAAAAATATATATTTGCAAATATCATGCTTTTGGGAAATATCATTTTCTTTAATCCTACAAGAATGCACAAATTAATACAAATATTTTAAATGCACAAAGAATAATTTTGCCTACCTTTTGATCTCATCTTTGTGCGTGTCAATATGATATTTTAGTAGGTGAAATTCAGAGCCAGAGGATAGCAATATAAAAGCATCCATATAATAAAACTGTGTGACTCGTATAGGTTTACTTAACACGTCCTTGCCCTGAAATGCAAAAGTTGGAATTATTTCTAAAATATAACCAAACCATTATAGTATCAATAAACCCTGTTAAAATATTTGATGTTTCTATTTTGACTCCCAACTTGCAATCCATCCAAGGTTATAAACCTGATTTGTTAAGTAAAAATTATAGTACCTTTCTATAAATAACTATTCTCATTTGGAAAAAAAATATGTAATTCTGACTATTGCTCCTAAAAGTGAATGTTTTAATTTTCAAGTTTTCTTTTTATTTTCTAACATATGAAACTAGGCAGTAAAGTACTTGTTAGAAATAAGCATTTCATTAAAATCAGTTCTATTTTTTGTTCAAATCCTCCCAATACTTTGTAATGTTAGTCTGAAGTTTTTATCACCAAATTTATACCACATAATGTGTATAACTATAATTTATGGGTTGTGGCATTACCAGCATCTCTAAAGAAAAATCATCTAACTTCTGAAGTCTCATCCTCACTTTGGTCACCTCATCTTGCCTAATAAAAACCTCTTCTTTATCACTCTTTCTTCCCCTTTTTGCATTCAGCCTACTAAAAAGTAAATGTTAAATCATCTTTAAATTTGTACCACTTTTATGTCATATACCTCCCGTAGCACCTCCTCTGGCTCTTTTTCCATCATGAAAAAGAGCTGAGTTTCTTGTTATTACCTTGAAAGATCACTCCCACACTAATCTTGGACGTAAAACTTCATCATCCACTGTTCTGTTATTTTGGTTTAAAACTTGCATATGAATCTCGTCTCCGTCTCATTCTATACTTCTACATTCTATATGGCCACCTACAATTTCCCCTAAATAACTGACTTTTCTCCATCATAATGTACTTTATTCATATAACTTTTTCTTGTCTATTAACATTTCCTCAACTATAAAATGGTATTACAATACCAGACATGGAAAGCAAATTCACTCATATCATCATAACACAAATAACTCCCTTCTCGACTTGTTTCAACCATTTTGTCAATTTCAGATTATAATTTAATAATTTACAGACCTGTCTACCTCAATGTATAGAACATAAGCATCAACGTATAAACATTTAAATTAAACAACAACTTTTCAATACATGCAAACAAAGCTACCTCTAGTGCACTCATATTTTTAATCCTCTAATACATTAAAAATGATAGAACGATTGAACAGTATTTCAGCTTACAAGTGTTTGTAATAGCTGAGAGTTTAATGGTCACAAAACTGTTCATTTGGAAATGAAAGAATGTATTAGACATGAATTATTCATTACCAGAAATACTGTAGACTGTGTAGTCCTAACTGACCAGATCCTTAATGTTCTGTCTTCTGAAGCAGAAACCAACCATTTCCTGTCATGACTCCAGCCAACTGAGGTCACTGCTCCATCATGACCTTAAGTGAAAAACACAGCATGAAAACATTTTAACACAATTTCTGACATCTAGACATTATAACAAGAGAGTCCCAGTTTGCCTAACATTTTTCTGTAATGTACTAGAAACTGCATTTTCAAGTGATAAATAATGAAATCAGCAGCATTTTCTGATAAATGTCTAGTGCTCTTAAGATCCTGGATAATATAAAATTACAGTTTGGTGAAACTTATAAAATTTTTCAAAACCTTTTTTGTGATCATCACTTCCGGGTCTAGATGTTCGCTGACCATCCCTTTAATAATACATTCGGACCTGTCATTTTCAGACTGTGTTCTCCCAGTTTTGAAAAAGCAGGTGATTTGTCTTTCTTCAGTCCAGCAGTGCCCTTCCCATTCTCAACAACCTATAAAACAGCAGTGCAGTGATGGCCAACACATCTTTCCATCTCCCAGGATAGATTTCATTTGGGTCAGGTGATTTGAACTCACGAAGGGTATCTAGGGGTTCTCGTTATGTTCCTATTTATAATGGATGTCAAATCTCTGTTAGTCATGCTTGTTCTCTTTCTTCCAGTCCAAAGGCTATTCTCCTTGGCAAAGAAAACAGGAGGAAAATAAAACTTGAGAACCTCTATCTTCTGTCTGCTGTTGCTGATCATCTCATCTACTTCGAGCAAATGTCCTATTCTTTCTTCCATCTTCCTCTTCCCCTTCTTGGAGCTAAATGTGTTAGCCTTAATTTTCTAACCAGCTATAGCTCACTGTGAGCCTCAGAACTTGTTATACTCTTCTTCTGGTACCATACCATGTTTCTGCATTTATCCCATTAACAGGGATAGAGTATAACTATATAATAGAATGGGGGACCAGCACATGTACAGAGGGCCTCTGACAGGATTTCCCTGTCAGGGGTAAGGCTGAATAGTCTGCTTCCAGGAGGGAAGGGTGGGCAATATGCAAGGGACGTGCATTGGAGAGACTAAAACATGTAAAAACATTCTGTAAATTGGTTCCAGTCTGCTAACCCCTGTAGTCAGGGGGTGTCTCTTCCATGTGCTGTACAGTGAGAACTGGGAGGGCCTACAACAAGCACCAGGAAGCAAATCCTCTGCCATTTTTTTCTCTTTAGCTGTTCTTCTGGTTGATGTCTCTTTTGGTTTAACTCTGACCAACTTCATCCATCAAGAGACAATGTTGCAAAAGGAAAGGCCTTGGGCTTTCTCCCCTCCACGGTCATTTCGCCTCTAAGTTTGTGCTTTTCTGTTTTAGGTGAAGGGATTGGGACTTCTTGAGTTTCAAAAGGTCAGGACAAAGAGCCTCTAGGTACCCTGGTATCCCAGAATCCCAGGTTCTAGGTGTTGAAGCCAGTTCAGCATCAATACCCTGAGCAATAAAGAATGACCTTTGGGACCCAGACCTGTAGGACCTAAAATAAAGACTCATCAAGCAGTCATGCTGCATCTGCATATGAACTTGGTGAGACCAACATTATGTAGGAATTGAGCTAATTTTGAGAACAGTCTCCCAGAAGCTAAGGTAAGATGAGGGAGACTGTGTCTCTGAAATATTTTGGGAAAGTGTCTGTATTTTTGTTCTAGCTTTATCTTTGAAGTAAATAACTCTTTGCAAATGCTAATCGATGTTAAGTGGTTAAATGGAACAGGGGTGATAGAAGTCTCTGCACATAAGGATTTGAGGGAGGGAGGGAAACTCAATGTGTGGATGCTCAATCCAATGGCAATAGACAACAGATACACAAAAATCCCTCAGGGTACCCCTACAACCTTGAGAGGGAGAGCTAGTGGCTTGACTCTGTTATAGTGGCCAAATATATAGAGAAATAAATTTTATAAAAATAAGAAATGAAAATTAAAACAATTCTGAGGTACCACCTCACACTTGTTAGATTGGCTAATATGACAGAAAAGGAAAATGATAAATGTTGGAGGAGACATGAGGAAATTAGGACACTATTGTATAGTTGGTAGAGTTATGAACTGATCTAACCATTTTGGAGAGCAATTTGGAACGATGCCCAAAGAGCTATAAAACTGCATACCCTTTAACCCAGCAAAGCCACTACTAAGTGTGTATCACAAAGAGATTTTTTTAAAAAGGGAAAAGGATTTATTTGTATAAGGGTACTTTTAGCAGCTCTTTTTGTAGTGGCTAAGAATTGAAAATTGAAATGTCCATCAACTGGGGAATGGTTAAACAAGTTTTGGTATATAATTGTGATAGAATACTATTGTGCCACAAGAAATGATAAACAGGATGCTTTCAGAAAAACCTGGAAAAATTTACATGAACCGGTGCAAAGTAAAGTGAGCAGAACCAGAACACTGTATACAGTGATAGCCATATTGTATGATGATCAACTATGAACGACTTAGCTTTTCTCAGCAATGCAAAGATCCAAGACAATTCCAAAGTATTTATGATATGTCCAACCTTCATGACCCCATTTGCAGTTTTCTTGGCAAAGACAGTGGAGTGGTTTTCCATTTCCTTTTCCAGCTTATTTTACAGATGAAGAAACTAAGGCAAACACAATTAAGTGACTTGCCCAGGATTACACAGCTAAGTAAGTGTCTGAGGCTAGAGTTGAACTCATAAAGATGAGTCTCCCTGACTCCAGCCCTGTTGCTCTATCGACTGCACCACCTAGCTGCCCTAGCTACACACAGAGTAGATGAAGGAACTCTGAAAGGACAGCGAATTAGCAGCAGGTGAAACTGGGAAAGGCCTGCAGAAGGTAGGATTTAAGCTGAGAGTTGGGACATTAGGAAAACAAAGGGAGGGAGGTGAGAAGCCAGTGTATTCTAGAAATGGAGAGTAGCCAGCACAAAGGCAGAGACCCAATATGGAGGGACATGTTTGAGGAACAGGAACTAAGGCAATGTGGCTAGATCAGAGACAGCAAATGAAGTATAAGAAGACTGGAAAGGTAGGAAGGGGCCAGGATGTCAGTGAGTGGGTGAATGAATAAGTACAAAACATTTAGTAAGTGCTTAAACTGCACAAAGCACTGTGCTCAGTACTTGAGATACAAATAGAAAAATAAGACAATCCCTGCTCACAAGGGACTTTCCAATAGGGAAGGTTTTCAACTACAGGTCAGATGGAAATTCCCATGGTCCTTTTAGTGAACAACAGCAAAGCACATGGTAATGAATGCCTCTTCTGTAATGTCATTTCCACTGATACCATTCTATCTCAGTTTCTGCTGTTGAACCACTTGACAGGACCAAAGCCTTCTTTGACAAGAACTTTCTCTTCTGGGTCTTCAGGAGGTTTGGCTACAGCACCTGGAAGAGTAGTTGCCAGTCTAATCTCCATGGGGAATGTTTCCCAGAATGATGGGTGAGGGGTATATCCGAAGGCTCTTGGGTTCAGGGTCCTGGGTTGTATCCATCTGTGTCTGAGGAGGGATGGTATTCACATTGCTGGTAGTGGTGGTTTAACTTGCCTGGTACATGCTGCCTCTTATCTCACTGTCATAGGGCCCTGCTGCTTCAAAGAGGCTGGCTTGTTTGCCTTTGTGGGTTAACAACTGGTTAGCAGCTGGTGAGGATGGCTAGCCCCTTCTCTGCAGGAGTTGCTTTCCCAAATGATGGTGTGAAGGCTGGGCTAGAAGTACACTGGTGGTCTGCAAGGTGTTGCCACTCCCAAGCTCTTGTACTTATCTGTCTGTAGGGAGCAGTAAGTGAGTAGTCGCTGCTGGCAGTGTTAAGGGACACAGGCCCCTTGTGAAGGGCTTTAAATATAAAGAATTTTATATTAGATCCCGGAGGTTAATAGGGTACCACTGGAGTTCACTGAGCAAGGCGTTGACATGGTCAGACTTATATTTTTAAAAAATCATCTAGGGGCAGCTAGGTGGCACAGGGGATAGAACACTGGCCCGGGAGTCAGGAGGACCTGAGTTCAAATCCAGTCTCAGACCAGACACTTGACACTTACTAGCTGTGTAACCCTGGGCAAGTCACTTAACCCCAATTACCTCGCCACAAAAAAAAAAAAAATCTGACAAATGAAAGTGAATTGGAATGGGAGGGACTTGAGGCAGAGAGATCAAGAATCTTTCACAGCTATGGCTAGAAGGAAAATCCTTAAAAGGAAAGCTAGAGAAGATCATAAAAGATAAAGCACATAATTTTAATTTTATGAGATGTTTTTTACAGAAATGAAATAAATGCACTAAGTATAAAAAAAGAAGATGGCAAGTGGGGAAAAAAATATTTGTATCAAATCTCTTTAAGGACCTGGTATCCAACTTACAGGTATTTAACATATGCATGACCAATAAACATTATTAGTGAATAAGTGGTCAAAAGATTTTTTAAAAACAGTACTGAGAGTGATATTTGCAAACTATTAATAATCATATAGAATATTATTCCAAATCACTAATAATAAAGGAAATACTAATCAAAACAATTCCAAGATTTCATTTCATACTGACAAAAGATGAAAATGGTCAATGTTGTACAGTCACATCATTAGACCCCTGGATCATATGATTTCTGTTGGTTTATTATTGATGTGGTCAATTATGCTGAAAGTTTTCCTAATATTGAACCAGCCCTGCATTCCTGATAAAAATCCCACTGGTCACAGTTTATTATGTATTATCCTGGTAATAAATTGCTGTATTCTCTTTTCTAATATTTTATTTAAAATTTTTGCATTCATTTGCATTCATTGGTGAATTTGGTCTATAATTTTCTTTCTCGGTTTTGGCTCTTCCTGGTTTAATTATCAGCACCATATTTGCGTCATAAAAAAGAATTTGGTAGGACCCCTTCTTCACCTAGTTTTCCAAATAGTTTGTATAATTTTGAAATTAATTGTTCTTTAAATGTTTGGTAGAATTGACTTGTAAATCCATCTGGCTCTGGAGTTTTTTTTCTCATAAAATTCATTGGTGGCTTATTCAATTTCTTTTTTCTGAAATGGGGTTATTTAAGTATTTTATTACTTTTTCTGTTAAACTGGGCAATTTATATTTTTGTAA